GCGTGGGGGGTAGCACAAAGGGAAGCAGGGTCTGGGGAGGGGTGGAGACAGGAGAGGCCAGGGACTGAGCAGCGTGAGTGAATGGTGTTCCAGGCAGGAAGCGCCCAGCGCACAGGGAGCCGGTCAGCCGCAGAGAGAAATCAACCAGGTAATAGCACGTCCTGCAAAGCAGTGCAGGGACTCTTGCTGGCCTGCCGGGCCCCGCATCCATGTGGGTTTGGAGATTTCACTTTTTAGTGCCTCCGTTTCTCCTGCATGGTGGGGTCCCGCCTTGGTGAGTTTACCTGTGTTAAACAATTACCTTGGGGCTTGGCACAGAGCCAGTGAGCAGGAGACAGGCCCCTGGAGGCAGCACTGGGCCTGCAAGCCTGCTGATGGCTGCAGCTGCACCGGATTGGGCTGTATCCCGTCTGGCTGCTGCAGACCTGGCAGGCTCGGTAAGCAGTGATGGTCAGCCTGGAAGCCAGCGTGTACTTTGTGCTTGCCATGTGTCAAGCCACGTGGTGTGGCTGTCTGTGCCCGTTCTGCCGAGTCTTCATGTGGACTCTGAGGTGGGCACCGTTGTCCTCTCCATTTTAGGAGGAAACCCAGGCCTCGGAGACTTAGTGACTTGCCCAAGCTTACTCAGCTAATAACTGGCTGAGCCAGGATTTGAACCCACTTAGTCTGGCTCTTAACTACTGAGGGTACCTGACACCCACCCCGAGCTGAGCCCTCAAAAGGCCCACTGGGAGGCCCCGTCCAGGTTAGCCGAATGCACTGGCTGGGCTCCTGGCCCCTCTGTTCACTGTCTGAGACTCCTTGACTGCACAGGTTGTCCCAGCCTCACTTGCCCACCTATTAACCAGGGGTGGCAGGCCAGGCTTCTGTGAGACAGTCATGGGCTAATGGTGGTCAAATGTGTGACACAGTGCTGGCACATGGGAAGTGATCAGGAAATGGTCGCTGAAAGAGAAAATACATCATCCCTTCACTCATCCATCTAACGGTTTACCAAATACCAAGCAAGTGAGGACAGTTCCTACCAAACAGGGCTCCCACAGCCCGGAAAGACCCGGCCCAGCTAAGACCCCGTCCCTGCACCGAGCACGGGAAGCGGCGTGGGTCGGCCTCCGTCTGTCTTGAACAAGGTGCCCGTTGTCTCCCATGGCCAGAACCAGAGAGGGTGGAATTGATCCTTGCCAGGGGTTTGGCTGATAGTGCTCAGGTCTGTAGAAGGCACCACAGACAGGTCGTGGCTAGTGTGGGCATCCCGGGCAGAGATGACAGTTACCATCAGCTGGGCCGGGCCGAGCCAGGGGTGGGACACCGTGGCTGGGTTGATTCCAGGTTTTCTTGTTTGCCCCCAGATTGAGGACGAGACGCAGGTGTCACGGGCCACTCAAGGTGAACAGGACAATTACGAGATGCACGTGCGAGCCGCCAACATCGTGAGTGGCCAGGGTTGGAGGGCACAGCCCAGGCTCCAGGAGCATCGGTGCCCGCTGGGGTTTCCTGGGTGGAGAGTAAGGGGCTCTGGGGCTGGTCTGCTCTTCCCCCGAGAAAGAGCAGAAGGAGGCGAATGTAGAGATGCTTTAAAGAGCCGGGCGCGGTGGCTCAAGCCTGTAATCCCAGCACTTTGGGAGGCCGAGGCGGGTGGATCACGAGGTCAAGAGATCGAGACCATTCTGGTCAATCTGGTGAAACCCCGTCTCTACTAAAACTACAAAAAATTAGCTGGGCATGGTGGCGCGTGCCTGTAATCCCAGCTACTCAGGAGGCTGAGGCAGGAGAATTGCTTGAACCCAGGAGGCGGAGGTTGCGGTGAGCCGAGATCGTGCCATTGCACTCCAGCCTGGGTAACAAGAGCGAAACAACTCCGTCTCAAAAAAAAAAAGAGACGCTTTAAAGAATGAGGTGGGGGCAAATTTCCCAGGAGACTGTCCGCAGGTGGGGCACCTGGAGGAAGGCAGGCAGAGAGCCAGCCACGCCGTCCTGTAGCTGTGCAGGTGCCAGGAAGAGGGCAGCCCTTCCTGCTAACTCACGAGCTGCTAAGGTGAGCTGGGAGTCAAAGGGCAAACAGCCGAATGGAACCATAGGCACCACTGGATTCCCTCGGACCACAGGAGAAACACAGACAGCAGATACTCCTGCAGCTTCACGTCCGAGGCAGAAAATGCGTGGGAAAAGGTCCCCCAGGAGCCCTGCCCAGCTGGCAGCTGTGCTACCCCTACCTGGGGGCAGGAGGCAAGAGGGATTGCAGTTTTATCTGTGGGGTTTGCGTTCGTAATGAGCGGAGCGTGCACCTACGTCCTGCGAGAGTGGAAGCCAGAGGCTGAGGGGAGGGGAGGGCCTGCCCTCCGGAGCTGCCATCCCAGTTTTCTCACTTAATTCTCACAACTGAACCTGTGCAGGTCAGGGACAGAGTCCCACTCTGCAATGAAGCAGAGGCTCCAGAGAGGCCATCACTTGCCCGGCATCAGCCACCTGCGAGCAGGGCCGCCATCCCCCCTCACCCTGTGCCCACCCTGGTTCTGATGGCCACAGGTCCGAGCCGGTGAGTCCCTGATGAAGCTGGTGTCCGACCTCAAGCAGTTCCTGATCCTCAACGACTTCCCCTCCGTGAACGAGGCCATCGACCAGCGCAACCAGCAGCTGCGCGCGCTGCAGGAGGAGTGCGACCGGAAGCTCATCACGCTGCGGGACGAGATCTCCATTGACCTCTACGAGCTGGAGGAGGAGTATTACTCGTCCAGGTACAAATAGTGCCGGACTCCCCGTGCAGAGTGGGAGCCTGCCTACCTGGGCCTGGCCAGCAGGCAAGGCCGCCCTGACTCTCAAGGGCCTTCTGCTTTTTCAAACCCTTGCTGCTCTTGGCAGTGGAGCTGTGCCTGGGGTTTCAGAGCAGAGCTCCTGGCCAGAGCGTTTGGTCGACAGACAATTCACGAGCATCTGCCGGGGCCCTGGGCCTTTCCCGCAGTGCAGCCTGATGAGAGCCGCAGGACTCACGCCAGTTGGACAGGCCGAGTCTGGAGAAGGGAGGGCCTGGCCGGCATCCACTGCAGGGTCTTCCTGAGAGTCTCCCTCCTCGGGCAGTGCCTCTGGGCCAGTGGTGCGCCTATTAGTGTCTGAATCCATATTCAGAGATTTTGGCCAAGGCTGGGCCAGCCCCTCCTGGGCACTCGAGTCCATCCCTATGTCCAGGGCATCAGGGATGCAGTTCCATGCGGATGTCACCAAACCCCAGTGTGGAGGCAGGGACAGTCATGGGACGGTGGGGGACTAAGCCCAGGCAGGGAATGGCCTTGAAAGCTGTTGGAGTTCCGATTTCTGACCCGCTCAGCCTTACCCACGGAGCTGGAGCCGGCCTGCGTGCCAGGCCCATGCCGGGCCCCAGGGATGCAGAAGGGTCAAACCCATCATCCGGACCCTCTTGGGGCCGCGTAAGAAGCCGGAAACCTGAAACTTTTTGAGCTGGCAGGGTCTGAGAAATCAGAGTCCACGGGTTTTTTACCTAGGGGGAATCTTAGGCTGAGACAGGGAGGCTTTCCTCTCTGCCCCCATTAGCTTAGAAAATGGAGATTCAGTCCAGCAGACGCAGAGTTCATGTCCGTCTTGTTCCTTCTCCTGGACAAAATTTTGCTTCCTGGTGGTGGACTCAAAATGCCCCTTTCTGCCCAGTGGCCACGCTGGGAGCCACAGACGTCTAGAGCCAGTGTGGCCTGGGGCTTGGTTTCCCTGCCCTGCGCTCAGTGGCACTTCCCGGCTGCAGCAGTTCTAAGGTTTTCCAGGGCGTTGTGGGGAGAATTTTTGGTCCCCAGTACTCGTTAACTCAGCAGACAGGAGACAGCGTTTCCTACACAGCAGGGTGGCCGAGAGGAGCCCTCGGGTGTGTGAGCCCCTTCCTGGCGTATCCTTCCACCACTGTTCCGTTTGTCTCTTGGGGTAGCCACTATCCCGAGGGCCCCTGGACAGAGCAGCTGTGAGACCGAAATTCAGCCTGCCGTGCCTTGGAGTGGGGAGGGAGGGGACCTGCCCACAGCCCTGCAGCAGAGTAGGGTGCAAACCCAGGACAGATGCGCCAGGCTTCCCACGCCCTCCCCAACAGTCCCTCGGCTTCATCCATAGGGGCTTCCAGGCCAGCCTGTGTCCCCTCCGGCAGGCATCCTGTCCACACCAGCGCGCCCAGTGCAGCTCCTGTGGCAGAGGCAGTTGCCCCTTCTCCGTACGTCGCCTTTAAGCAGCCAGGGCTGGGAGGAGTTTCCTAGGCCCCTGCTTGCTGGTGCCCCAAAGGGCACTGCGCTCCCCACCCCGCCCCGCATGAGCTGCCCCTCCGGGTCTGCCTGTCCACTCTTCGCTGGTTATTTGCTCTTTCTGGCTCTGCCTCTCCTTCTCCACTCTCCTCGGGATGCTACCGTGTGCCCAGGACGGTTCTGAGACTGAACAAGGGCAGGAGCAAGGGAGGCAGGATGTGGGAAAGCCAGGGCCCCTGCCTGCAGGTTAGAAGGAGGCGGGCGTGGACCATCACAGCTGCGGGCATGGGAAGGGCTAGCTGTGCCCCTCACCTGCATCTTGGCCGCCCTGAGTATTCCCCTGTTAAAGCTGGGGACACCTGCTGGAGGCCACCTGGCTGATGGAGCTACAGGGAAGTGCCAGGGCCTGTGTTTCCAACTTCGCCCCCTTCAGGCTGTGTCAGACAGGGACAGACTCAGAAGACAGAGTCCGCCCTCAGAGAGCTCTCTGCAGTGTAGTGACCCTGGTTTCTGCAGTCAGGGAGGAGGGAGGGCCGCCAGGCTGACAGCTTCTTGCAAGAGGAGGGAGGGGACCAGCACCAGCTGGGAGGCAGGGGTTAGGACAGGCCCATGTGGAGGCTGGGCAGGAAGAGCCTGCTGAGGTCACACAGCTATAGGTGGCTGGGCCAGGGTGGCTTCTTCCTTGAAGGATGCTAGGGTGGATCTCAGCACCGGCCCCTCTCTCTGCCAGGCCTGCCGACTCGGCCAGATGGAGCAGGAGTAGACAAAGGGAAAGGCAGGTCTGGGTGCGGTCGCGTTTTCTTAACTCCGCTTCTGTCTTGCTTTCCCCTCCCCGGCTTTCCTCTCTGCCTGCTCCTGTCTCCCTGGGGTTTCTGGTGGTGGAAAAGCTCAAGCCTTTGCGAAGCTAATGACCTGCCTCTGTGCGAAGCTTACGGGAGGCTGGACCTCGACACAGACTCGGCCGATGGCCTCTCGGCCCCTCTGCTGGCGTCCCCGGAGCCCAGTGCTGGCCCCCTGCAGGCGGCAGCCCCTGCCCATTCCCATGCCGGTGGCCCCGGCCCCACTGAGCACGCCTGAGCCTCTGGGGCCACCCTTCGTTGTCAGGAACAAAACCTGAGTTCTCCCTCTGGATGCTGCCACAGGCTTGCTTCTTTATTCAGCCTAGGTTCCCATTTGGGGACTTCAGGACCCCAGAGCCACTGGAACTTCCTTGCAAAGCTCGTTAGCCCAGGGCCGGTCCAGCCAGGATGGTTGGGAAAGTGGTTTCCTAGCCGTTTCTGAACAGCCCATCATTCCCTGAGTCATCATCTCTTTTTGCTGTCTTTCTGGCCGCCCAGGTAGAAGGTTTCCAACATAGGTCTGGCCTGTTGGGGACCTCAGCAGTGGGGCAGGAGGGTGCCTGATATGGGGGAGCCCCAACTTGAGCCTGTTGTTAGAGTTGGTAGGGGCTCCAAGCAGACTGTTGGGCAGGCCGGGGTTCCTGTGGGGAGCCCCACCTGCTGCTGCTTGCCCTGAGCTGCACATGTTAGCACCGTAGCTGAGTGTTAAGGCATGGCCGTATGAGAGGGGTTGCCCCCGCATATGGAAGCTAGGTGGGACTCATTCCTACCTCTGCCTCTGTAAGGAGACTTGATTAAAACACCGCCACCCTTTTGCATTGCTCCTGTTTCTTCCTCATTCCTCGTCAGTCCAGAACCACGCTCAGTCTCCCAGCAGCTGTCCGAGCAGCAGCTCCTCAGCTCTGCCTGGACAGCCTGGCCCGAGGTCACCCTCTCCCCAGTGCCACCTGGTAGGTCCCCAGTATTCAGTGAATGGACCTGCTGCATCATTGCACATCCAATCACCGGTGCCTGTAATGGCATCTCATCCTCACTGCCACCTGAGCTGGTGCTCCTGGTGCCAGCATTTCAGAGAGGAGAGAATATGAACTTAGAAGGGGTCAGGTGTACCCGTGGCTACAGAGATAGAAAGTGAAGTGGCAGAACCCTGATTGAACTCTAGATCTGGTGTCTCCGTGCCAGGCTCACCTTAGAAATGCAGAAATCACAGCACTGGGCAGGAAGTGTGGGGGGGCACACCTGCCCCTAACTCCCGCATCCCTCACTTCCTCCACCACCATCCATGTGCTGCTGCTTCTCACGGGGGAGACCATCATCTTCCCCGATGTATGAATGAGGTGACAGCCCAGGGTCCAGCCTTGTGGACAGGCAAGGACACAGCTGACCCGTCACCACCTGGACGAGAGGACCCCGCAGCCAAGCAGAAGGCACCAGACGGACAGGAGCCTGAGGCCCAGCCCCGACTCTGGGCCTGGCTTCTGGGGTGTCCTAGGGAAGTTGCTTCCCCTCTGAGGGAGAATTTCCCCATTGAGAAGTCTGGTGATGTCTTCCTGCACTGTTTTAGTTGTGGAAATGCCTTGTACTTAACCACTAAGGAGCAAAAAGAGTACAACCGGATGGAAGCATATACGAACGGAAAGCCCGGAAGGAGCAGACCAGACTTTGGTGGGACCCCACTTGTCCTGTTTCTGAAAACCTGAGCAGTACGACCTTATGCCATCAGCTTTGCTTTCTGCTTGGCCAGTACCATCATTCCCATGTGAAAATAAAGTTCTTTCTCCCTTCTTAAAGCCAAGCCGCTCTCCTGACCCTTTTCCTTTCCCGCTCATGGCCCTTGGCAGCAGAACGCCACAGGGAAGCAACTGACATGTCTATCTGCAGTTCTCCCTCAAGCCTACGTCAGACAGGTTTGTCTCCAGGACTCCAGCAAAACTACACCTATTAAGGTCTCCAGCGGCCTCCATGTTGCTATGCCCTGGCCAATCCCCAGTCTATGGTACTCTTTTATCCCAAGCTTTTTGTTTTGAGGGGATTTGAACCTATGGAAGCACTTGTCAGTTTGCCTCTGAGCACACTGTCCTACCATCACCACAACCAAAGTGAATGACTCCATATCCTCTGGAATCTGGCCATAGATTTCTTCTGTTGTTCCAAAAGTAGTTTTTTTTAATGCCTGTTTTTATTTTGCATTGTATTTGGTTGTTATTTCGGATAGTCTTAAAATCTAAAACAGGACCAGGCCAGGCGGGGTGGCTCACGCCTGTAATTCCAACACTTTGGGAGGCCAAGGTGGGCGGATCACTTGAGGTGAGGAGTTTGAGACCAATCTGGGCAATATGGTAAAACCCCGTCTCTAATTAAAAAAAAATACAGAAATTAGCCAGGCGTGGTGGCACGCACCTGTAGTCCCACTATTCAAGAGGCTGAGGCAGGAGAATCGCTTGAACCCAGGAGGTGGAAGTTGCAGTGAGCCAAGATCACATCACTGCACTCCATCCTGGGCAAAAGAGTGAGACTCCCCGTCTCAAAAAATAAAAACAGGATCAGAGTGGTGAGATGGGAGTGGGTCTAGTTGGGTTCTTGAGGTGTTCTGAATGCACGGCTGATAGGATTTGCTGAAGCATTGGATGTGGGAATAAGAGAGGAGTCAGTGGTTTCAGAGTCTGACCCAAGCACCTGGAAGGATGGAGCTGCTTTAACTGAGAGTTCTGATGATAGGAAGAGATGAGGCAGAGGGGATCAGATACCCATTCCGAACTCAGTAGGTGATGGGTTAAGATGCCCAGCAGTACAGGGAAGTCATCTGCAGTGTCACACCCATCCTCCATGAAGCATCACCTCTAGGCTGGTCTGAATGGCAGTGGGATGTCAGAACCTACTAACCTTAGTGTCACTGTAGTTGGCATACAACCCGCCCCCCACTGCTAAATTTGACTAGCTTTTTTAAAAGTGAAAAAAATTATTTTTTGAGACAGCCTGGCACTCCAGGCTAGAATGCAGTGGCATGATCTTGGCTCACTGAAACCTCCAGCTCCCGGGTTCAAGTGATCCTCTCTTCTCAGCCTCCTGAGTAGTTGGGAGTACAGGGGCAGGCCACCGCGTTCAGCTAATTTTAAAATTTTTTTGGAGGGATAGGGTCTCATGTTACCCAGGCTGGTCTCCATCTCTTGGGCTCAAGTGATCCTGCTGCCTTGGCCTCCCAAAGTACTGGGATTACAGGCATGAGCCACTGTGCCCCGCCAAAAAAAAATGTTTTAACTGGCCTCGTGGCAGAAGTTAGGGGAAGAAAGTTTAGTTCTTACTGTTTCTAATGTACACATATTAGCAGCCACCTTTTTAATTGTAATTTAAGACTTCAAGTTCTCCCTTCACCAACAGGGTTGCCCCGGAAGGGGCTCTGGGTCCTTAACGAGCCTGTAATTTTCCTGTGCAGAAACTGGGGTATGGGGGTCCCAAGCCTCAGGCCATGACTTCTCCTGTCTCTTGTCCCTGGTGAGCTCTTACGAAGGCCACGTCCTGTGTTAAAAATAGTGGTGTGTAGTATTTTTCAGAGCAAAACATTGCCCAGGGGTCTTCCTTGAACGGGCTGGCGCCCTCCCACCCAACACTTCTCCCTTCCCCTGGGGCTTTCCTTGGCGCTCCCCTCACCTGACGGTCACACGCTTGCCCGGTTTATCAGTTACCTATACGGCAGACACTGGCCGAGAACCCCTGTGTGTGAGACGCGGCTTGTGTCCGGTGGGACGGAACCTAAGGCCTGCCACGTGCCGGGCGTTCAGTCCGGGTCCGCCTGAGACCTGAGGCCCCTTAAGGAATGAATGAATATACTGCTGGTCATTCATTTATTTCGCCCCTACCCCAGAGCGCCTGCTGTGCCGGGGGTGGGGGTGAGGGGAGCGCAGGGACACGTGCGAGGCCCAGGAGACTGAGGCCCCGAGGCCGGAATTCCGGGTCTCGGACTGCTACGACTCCGCGCGGAGGTCGGCTGCCCTCCGCCCACAATGCTGTGCGCCCCGCCCCGCGCGCCGCTTCCGGCGGAGCCAGGCCTGACTAATCGAGCTCTCGTCTGGCGGCTCGGCGCTCGTCTGGCGTCACCTGCAGGCGTGGTGGTTTCCGGCGCGGTGGGTGAGGGTCGCAGGCGCCGCGGGGACGGTGTGAGTCGTGGACTGCCCGGACCTCCGCGATGGCCTCTCTGCTCGCCAAGGACGCCTACCTGCAGCGCCTGGCCAGGAAGATCTGCGTCCAGCCGGGCCCGCAGCCGCAGGCGCGCACGCGGGGTAATGCGCAGGGCCGGGACTGGGGGGCCTGCGAAGCGGGGGCGCGGCCGGGGTCGGTGTAGACGTGTGAAACTACCGCCGTTTCCCTTTTTTTTTTTTTTTTTTGAGACGGAATCTCGCTGTGTCGCCCAGGCTGGAGTGCAGTGGCGCGATCTGGGCTCATGGCAACCTCCTACTCCCGGGTTCAAGCAATTCTCCTGCCTCAGCCTCCCGAGTAGCTGGGAATACAGGCGCACTCCACCACGCCCGGCTAATTTTTGTATTTTTAGTAGAGACGGGGTTTCGCCATGTTGCCCAGGCTGGTCTCGAACTCCTGGCCTCGAGTGATCCGCCCCCCTCGGCCTCCCAAAGTGCTGGGATTACAGCCGTGAGCCACTGCGCCCAGCCGGTTTCCCTTATTTGTTACGGGTATCATGGAGAAACTGCCATCCCGGGGGTCCGTGGAATTCGGTGCCGCCTGCCCGTGCGGCTGGAAGCACGGCTAGGATTCAGAGGAGGCCACCTTGCAGGGCAGGATCTCGGCTGCTGGCGTCATGAACTAACTCACTGCTTCCGCACGGGGCGGGAAGACAGGAGTAACGGTCAGTCAGAGGGAAAAGGCCCTTTTAGCCTTTAGCCCCTTCATTCATTCCGGGCATGGTGCGGTGTGGGGAGGCGGAGGATGGCAGAGGGCTTCTGCGCGTAGGGTTCGCATGGCTTAGTGACCAGGCTGCCCAAGGGAAGCAGACAACTGCGACTTGTCAGTGCTGTCTGGGCCCAGGAGGAGGGGAGAGCAGCAGGGTCTTTGGAACCACCAGAGGTAAAACGGGGTTCCCGTTTTATTCAAGGACAAAATATTGGTCATAGCAAATCCAAAAACTTAAGTTTTCTTCTTACTCAGTACGCCTTTGGTCTTTCTCGAAGTTTTTAAAACATTTTTTTCTTTTATTAAAACGATTCAGTTCCTACTTTACATACTGATTTCTTCCATTTAAAATGTAAACATCACCACCAGCCACTAAAATGAACGTCCTCGTCCACATAGTAGCTTGTTGTGAAGCAGGGCCAGAAATTATTGGTGGAGGTGGATATTCAGGTTTTCTTAATTTTTCATTCAAATAATGTGATGAACGTCTTTGAGGCCTAGTCTTTGTGCGTGAATTCTCACAAGCAGAACAGCTGGATCAGGGTTGTGGTTCTGAGCTCTGGGGTCAGTGTCTCTGGCCCCCAGTCCTGATCCTCTTTCTGCCTCCTCCTGGGATCAAAGCCCTGGGGAGCCTTTCCCGCCTGTTGAATGGGCCACGGGATTGGGACGGCGACTCTTTCTCATTTTACATTTTAGCTGGCAAAACTCAAGGCTCAGAAATTGCAGGGCCCCCAAAAAAGAAAAGGAAGAAAACACAAAAGAAATTCCGGGAGCGAGAAGAGAAGGCTTCTGAGCACAAGGCCAAGTCCTTGGGGGAGAAGTCTCCAGCAGCCTCTGGGGCTAGGAGGCCTGAGGCAGTGGAAGGGGAAGTGGCTACGGCTTCCAGCTCCACCGAGACCCCTGCAGGTGAGAGACTTCAGGCCGTGTTGCTTCTGTGCAGGGCGGGGCTGGCTTGGGCTTGGTCCCTTCTGCTCTTAAAAAAAAAAAAGCAGTCAGGCCCACAGGGATAGCAGGAGAATTCCCCAAGAGTGAAGCTCACAGGCGCACTAGCGTGGATGGGACTGGATGGGACTGGAGGAACTGCACGGCGTTCCAGGCCACATGGTGGGCACGATGGCAAGGGGTGATGCTGTGTCTCTCTGAGCACCTGGAGCAGCTTGGCTTAAAGAGCTGCACTGCCCTCAGGTCTCTGCAGGGGTGTCATGAGAGCCAACTTGTTCAGGGGGGGCTCAGGCTGCAGAATTTGGAGGAGGTGTTTGGCTTGTGCCCTAGGAAGTGTTTTCTCAGCACATTGACCTACCTCGAGAGGCACTCAGTTTCCTATCCTGGAGGATGGTGTAGGAACCGGTCCAGGTGGAAGTGGTGGCGTAGAATTTACGGGAATTGTCCTGCAGATCCATGAGTGGCCACAGTGGGACAGGGGTGCTGGGCCCTAAGGAGGGAGGGGAAGGGTGAGAGAGCGCCCCCTGCAGTCCTGGCTCCTTCCCTGCAGGTGGCCTGGCCACAGAGCCTGAGTCTGTGTTTGCCCTGGATGTTCTTCGACAGCGACTGCATGAGAAGATCCAGGAGGCCCGGGGCCAGGTAGGCAGGCACGAGTGCTGGAGTGCTGTCTCTGCCCTGCCTGTGTTCTCCCTGGGGTCGGCTGTCAGCAGTAGTTGCACCCCTGTTCTCCCTCTGCAGTGACCCTGCCTGGGCCCGGCAGCTGGGCCCGGGGAGAGCAGTTCCTAGTTTCTTGGAGAACCTCAGTCCCTGGCGTCATCAGCCTCCTTCCTTCTGGGACACTACCTTTGCTGAGCACGACACTGGGATGGGCACGTCCTGTGTCTGTTTCTCTGAATGTTGTGACTGTCCCATGAGTTGAGAGGGACGCGAGCTGAGTGTCCAGGCACAGGAAGTGCCGGTGTGGCTCTTTGTGCTGAGTGGTGGTGTCGGCCCCTACCCACCTTTTCCCTGGGGCCCTTCCTTAAAGCCTCGTGCTGTGTGGGGGACAGTCCCCACTTCTCTTCTCTGCCATCCCGAGGTACCGTGTGTGGTTCCTGAGAGGCTCGCGGCCCCCATTCTTGTAGCACAGGTCTCGTTCAGGCTGGTGTGGTGCTCTTGTTGGCCCGGGGATGGGAACGGCCACTGGGGAGAGCTTCGTCTGGAGACCTCATGAGCAGAGCGGGTAGGGGTCGGGACAGGTGCCCGGGTGTTCAGACCCCAACTCCAAGTTCTAGGCAGTGGTCTTGACCCTGCTCATCCATAAAACACTGTGTGACAGGTGAAACCCTGTTCGTAACATATCCTGGCACGTGGTAACTGCCTGGGAATTGGAAGCTGTGATTCTTTTTTTTTGTTGAGACGGAGTTTCACTCTTGTTACCCAGGCTGGAGTGCAATGGCGCGATCTCGGCTCACCACAACCTCCGCCTCCTGGGTTCAGGCAATTCTCCTGCCTCAACCTCCTGAGTAGCTGGGATTACAGGCACGCGCCACCATGCCCAGCTAATGTTTTGTATTTTATTTAGTAGAGACGAGGTTTCACCATGTTGACCAGGATGGTCTCGATCTCTTGACCTCGTGATCCACCCGCCTCAGCCTCCCAAAGTGCTGGGATTACAGGCTTGAGCCACCGCGCCCGGCCCGGAAGCTGTGATTCTTAATTTTGGGGGTCCCTTCTCCCTTTTGGGGTCGTTTGCATTTTGGGGAGCACCATCCCGTTGTGGAACTCTGAACTCAGTGGGCCCCTTGTTCGGCATGAGGATTTCCTCACCTGTCTTCCAGCCCTGATTCCTGTCAACCATGGGCCAGGCTAGGGGACCCCGGGGTCGAGAGAACTTTAATGAGCGAGCGCCTGTTTCCCACAGGGCAGTGCCAAGGCGCTGTCCCCTGCTGCCCTGGAGAAAAGGCAGCGGAGAAAGCAGGAACGGGACCGGAAGAAGAGGAAGCGAAAGGAGCTGCGGGCGAAAGAGAAGGCCAGGAAGGCTGAGGAGGCCGCGGAGGCCCAGGAGCCAGTGGAGCCCGTCCCAGAGGGGGCCGGCAGGGAGCCTCGGGAGCCGCCGGGGCTGATCTTCAATAAGGTGCGTGGGAGCTGGGGCCTCGGGTGGGCCGGGTCCGCCTCAGGCCTCAGCGTTGCCCTTTGTTAGCTTCGTGACCTCCCCACAGGCCCCGTCACGTCTGTAAGGTGGCGACAGGGACAGCGCAGGTCCCTTGGGGTGCTGGCCAGGGCTGGGGCCCGAGTGCGGGGCTGGCGTGAGCTGACGTCGTATCGCCTTCCCAGGTGGAGGTGAGCGAGGAGGAGCCGGCCAGCAGGGCGCAGCGCAGGAAGGAGAAGAGGCGGAGGGTGAAGGGGAACCTCACGCCGCTGACCGGGAGGAACTACCGGCAGCTGCTGGAGCGCCTGCAGGCGCGGCGGGGCCGGCTGGACGAGCTGCGCCGCCAGGATGACGGGAAGGCGCAGGAGCTGGAGGCCAAGATGAAGTGGACCAACCTCCTGTACAAGGCGGAGGGCGTGAAGATCCGTGACGACGAGCGCCTGCTGCAGGAGGCCCTGAAGCGCAAGGAGAAGCGCAGGGCGCAGCGGCAGCGCGGGTGGGAGAGGCGCACGGCCCGCGTGGTGGAGAAGATGCAGCAGCGCCAGGACCGGCGGCGGCACAACCTGCGCAGGAAGAAGGCGGCCCGCGCCGAGCGCCGCCTGCTCAAGGCCCGCAAGAAGGGCCGCATCCTGCCGCAGGACCTGGAGCGTGCGGGCCTGGCCTGAGCCTTCCCGCCTGGGAGGCTCCAGGGGACCCTCTGAGTCCTTGATGGTGGCTCATCCCAGGATCTCCGCGGACCTCGGCCCCTGCGTGTGAAGGGGACAGAGTCGTGCTCTGCTGAGTTGTGAGGGCTCAGGTCTCCCGTGTGAGAGAGGATGTTTCAGCGTCATCCTTGAAAATGGGGCCGGGGCCTTCAGACCCAGGGAAAGGGTGAGCCAGACTGGGGCCGGGTCTTTCCCGGGCCTGAAAGCTTCCCCGAAGTTTGCAGGGTCAGGGAGGAGGGATGGTGGGGTGGGCAGTCACTGCCTCTTCCCTGCCTGTGTTCGCAGGAGCCACAGCACGGAAGAGGGTGGCCTCTATTGCCAGGCCACCTTAGCTCACACCTCACAAGGACGGCGCTGAGGTGTAGCGTAGGGACACCTGGCACTCGGGAGTGGCAGGAGCATGTCCGGGCATGGGGCATCCTGGGACAGAACGCCACGGCTCCTCGCCCCTCTCTTGGCTTCTGCCTGTGGGGGTCTCATTCCTTTCTCTTCTTCACTGCTCAGAATTTAGAGGGAGGGAGGGAGCTGTCCTTCCCAGAGTCTGTGCATGTGAGTTGGGCCCGGTGCATTGGCCCAAAGGAAAAGAGAATAAAACTAGAGAGTGTGAGGCAAATGGAAGACAGAAAGTGGGATGGAAGAATTAAATCCAAAGCTACAGGCAGTCAGATGAATGCAGGTTGAATCAACTCAGGTGAATTTTAGTGGTATACGGAGATAAAGCTGTAAATAAAATTCTTTGGTCTCGGGCTATGAGACAAAGATTGTAAACGAAAGGGAGCTGGCGTGTCTGATGAGACAGTAGACTGAGATGGAAAAGCGCTGAAAGATCAAACGTCAGATGCGTGTGAGCTCGACCTAAGGGACAGACACAGCAGTATCTGAAAGAATACTTCTTTCCAAGTGTATGTGGAACACCACCCACTCTGTCCAGAAAAGAAGTCTTAAGATATTTCAAGGAGTCAGTGTCATCATCTGGCCATATCCCATTGACATTAAAACAATGTTAAGCTAGGCCAGGTGCGGTAGATCACATCTGTAATCCCAGCACTTTGGGAGGCCGAGGCGGGTGGATCACCTGAAATTGAGAGTTCGAGACCAGCCTGACCAACGTGGAGAAACTCCATCTCTACTAAAAATACAAAAATTAGCCAGGCATGGTGGCGCAATCCTGTAATCCCAGCTACTCGGGAGGCTGGGACAGGAGAATTGCTTGAATCTGGGAGGCGGAGGGAGTAGTGAGCCACGATCACGCCATTGCACTCCAGCCTGGGCAAGAAGAGTGAAACTCCATTTCAAAAACAACTTTTTTTAATTTTTAGAATTTCATATTTGGAATTTTTAAAACATACTTATGTTACCTCTATGAGGTAAAAAATTCCTAATGGCTGTTAGAAATATTCGAGACTAAAAGATAATGAAAATACTGTAATTAGCATTTGTGAAGCATGGCCTGGCTTGCTGGCTCACGCCTGAAATCCGAACACTAGGGGGTGGAGGTGGGTAGATCACTTGAGGTCAGGAGTTGGAGACCAGCCTGGCCAACATGGTGAAACCTCATCTCTACTAAAAATACAAATATTAGCCGGGTGTGGTGGCGCGTGCCTTAGTCCCAGCTACTGGGGAGGCTGAGGCAGGAGAATCGCTTGAACCTGGGAGGTGGAAGTTGTAGCGAGCTGAGATTGCGCCACTGCACTCCAGCCTGGGTGACAGTGAGACTCTGTCTCAAAAAGAAGAAATTTGTGGAACAGAGCTAAACCTGCACAAAAAACAACTCATGTTCCCTAAATGATGTGCGTCTACAGATAGACAAATAGTGCCGTTCACACACGTGTGCTGTATGTCTCTACATTTTATTTTTATTTTTTTTTTGAGACGAATCTAACTCTGTCGCCAGTCTGGAGTGCAGTGGTGCAATTTCGGCTCACTGCAACCTCTACCTCCCGAGTTCAAGTGATTCTCCTGCCTTAGCCTCCAGAGTAACTGGGACTACAGGCGTGCATAACGACGCCCAGCTGTTTTGTATTTTTATTAGAGACAAGATTTCTCACCACGTTGGCCAGGATGGTCTCAATTTCTTGACCTTGTGATCTGCCTACCTTGGCCTCCCAAAGCGCTGGGATTACAGGTGTGAGCCACTGCGCCCGGCATGTGTGTCTGTATTTTTAAGAGCCAAAGATAAACTCAGTGTGCTACGTACGCTGGTACAACTCAAAGTAAATGGAAGAAAAATCTCCAAAACTGACCAACAGAAAGCCTGGGTTGTAACCACTGATGAAATGGAGCCAGTAGGTAATGTTCCCCTAGACAGTTTTACAGGGAAGTTCCAGAAAACAGAGAACAGGTAATTCCAGACTTAGACAAATTCTAACAGAATCAAGTCAGAACACTTCATACATTTAACTTTGATAGCAAGACTAGACAAGAAGAAAACTAGGTAAGGGGAAGGGAACTTACACACCAAATAGCGATGTCAACATTTTAAACAATAATAAACCAAGTTTAGCAGAGTGCCACACTGGATTTAATTGAGAATTGCAAAGCGGTTCCAACGCCACAGTATCTAAGAGTGTAATTCACATTAGTAGGTTAGAGGAGTAAAACCCATGTGACCATCTCAGTGGTTCCAGAACAGGCACTCAGTAAGTCACCCAACAACCATTTATAATAATAAGAATTAGCAAGCTAGGAATTCAGGGGATTTCCTTAATCTGACGAGGGAATTTGGAGCCAGGTACTGGACCCAACTTGAAACCACATTCTTGGTCAGGCAAATGTAGATGTATTTGAGGGAAAGATGTCCACATGGAGTCCCAAGAGGTGAGGTCGTCATAGTGAACTAAGGGGCCAGTGAGGGTGCGGAAAAGACCATGGGGGAACTACCATCAACTGGCCATGGAGACCGAGAGGGGGGCGGGGGCAGGGCGGGGGTGGGGGTGGGTGGGTGGATGATCTCATCCTGAGCAGAGACAGGACAGCTGGGTGGGCCAGTGAGGGCTGCAGGTGGGGGAAGCTGAGAGCACAGCAGTCTTTTAGTGACACTGGATGTGCAAGGCACCTATGCCAGCCAGGGAGGTTGAGAATGAGGCTCAGTGGGGACTGGCACACTGGCTGGGAGAGTGGATGCAGTCATTCAGCAATGGATGGCATGGGCCGTCGCTGTCCCAGGTGAGTTTCAGGAGGGAATGAGACCCAGTCCTACCTCTCAAGGAACTCAGACTCATAGATAGTCATCCTACAGAATGGCCAGGGGAAAGCTCAGGGTGCAGGGTCCTGAAGTCACATGGAAAGTTGTGAATGTTGTCCGTACCAAAATGGAGTCACTTATGTCAAACTCTAATAAAACAGTTGGAGGTGATGAAGCAGCCCTCAT